ACACAAAATGCTTTTGATGGAGGTGAAGCAGTCCAACGACAACGAAATGTGGTTCAACGTTGCTGGGAATCTCCTTAGATTTTTTATTCCAGAATTCTGTTTGGTGATTGGTTTGAAATGTGTCGGGGAAGATAACATAAGTATGTTTAAAATTGGGGAATGCAAATTGAAGAGGGTTTGTTTCGGTGACATAAAGAGCGTGTATAGGAAGGTTGTCGAACAAACGTTTCTAAATCATCCCCAAAACACGCCAGACGAGGATGTTGTGAAGTTGGGGATATTGTATCTTTTAACTTCCTACTTGTACACAACCCCATAGCGCACTATTGTGAATGAAGCATTAATGAGTATCGTGGACTCTGGGCACATGGACACGTTTCCGTGGGGTAAGAAGTTGTACCAAAATACACACTGCCACATGAAGATTGCCCTCGAGAAGTCTAAACAAAATTCATGTATTTCGAAGGCAATAATTTCGTATAGACTTTATGGGTTCCCTCTCGCTTTCCAATTGTGGATATTGAGTCGATCCCATTGTTGTCCAGCCGAGTCTGTAACAAGATTTCTTGCACCTTTCCCCGAATTTTAAATTGGTCTACGGATGATTCTCGTTTTTCTGCGGCAAACATGGACAAGATTTTGTATGAGCTCGATGAGGTATGAACATGCCCCCAGGGCACATCTCCAAGTGGTAAAAGGGGAGGGTGGATAAATCCAGCTTTACTTGAACCTGCCGCGTCAAGGGTTCGAATCCTGAAATATGGATTTGACTCTTGGGTAAGTACAAGTGTACAAGCAGCCTTCCACCCTGTACCCTTAGAGGCATAACATGCGATTTACCTCCCTCACGATGCTCCAGGGCAGGGGCGGTGGGGGGCCCTTAAGATTGGGGTTCAACCTTTTTTTCGATGAGGTATGAACATAGAATATAACATGCACATTTTTGTCATTTTCGGCATTACTCGATATATTAATTAGATTTGACTTTTTATCGAAGTCGATTATGTGTTATTTTTGGGTGGACTCTTCCTCCTTTCATCTCCAGGTCGAAGTTCTTGATATCAATCCTAGCGAAGCAGAGATGCGTGCAGGATATTTTGATGGGCTACTTGGCAGGGGTCCTGATTTCATCCAATTGGCAGTAGCCGCCGCATCCCAGAGGGTGTAAATGCCCCACCACGTAATCATAAATCAAAAGTCAAACCTAGTACATCGAATAGCGATTCCATCCCTTGCTCCAAACGCACCATCCACGAGAAATCAAATGAGCATCGAGTTAACAAATTACTTCTTTCAACGTGTTTAACACAAATAATATATCATAACATAATTTTAACATATTACTTTTATTTGAAAGTTTCATTTTCAACTGCTGGATTTATATATTTTAACACATCATTACTAGTATTTTTTTTTTTTTACCTACAACTTAACATCCTTAAGACTCTGGAGGAACTGCACTACCATGTTTTGAGCATTCACGATAAACATAATCAAATAATGGTCGGACAGAATGAAATGAAGTTGGAATTTCAACGTCTCAAGAGTTATGTGTAGTCCAAGTTTGAACGTCTGGCCGAGGAGATGAGGCAGAAAAATACACTTTGTGATCATGATTATGGTAACAGACCCACTGACATAACTGCAATGACGCCAAATGAGCCGCAGAGTGAGGTCATGTATTTATGTTCCATGAACTATACATATATTTTGTTCAATACGTTTTTACTATGATATTTATGAGGCTTTATATTTTTGTTATCTTGCAGAATAGGAAAACTTGTCAGTTTGCAAGTGCACATGACAATGACATGAATGTTGTCAACAAACCAGTTGAAATGCTAGCGATCACGACGATGCCAACCTGAAGGGCAGTTCTGAACACTTCCAAGATGTTGATGTGGTCCCGGAATCAGTTGCGGGTGCAACAGTAAATCATGGTGACATATATTTCACAGAAGAGGATCTTCAGCAAGTGGATCACACTGCACAGTGTCCAGTCAATGAAAAGCAATAGTACATTACAGGTATTTCACTGTTATTACTTTTTTCTGTTCGAAAAATATTTACATTCACATTTAATCTTCAACATAAAACTCAATAAACTGCAATTGTCTATAACATGTCTACATATGGATGCACAGATACAGGTTCCTGTCAATACGTCTACAGGTTTTGCTCTCCTATCGGGTGATATTTCCAAGAACCTTTTTCGTGATGATTGTACGCCTTCTAACACCATTCCCCAAAAATCGAAACCTGTGGTATGTTGCATCCCAACCAATATAAATGCACCAATGGTATGTACGTTTCGAATACACGAGTCCTAATTTTCACTTTCATTATTGTTGTTCTGAATTTAATTTTTTTATTATTGTTTCAAGTATAAATGTGGTAACGAGATAGGGTAAATGATGATGACCTTTCAGGTCCAACGTCGTACTGCTCAATCCATTGTTGTGGTTGAGTCTGGTGATGGCAATCAAGGTAGTGAGTGGACCCCTATTCAAAATAATAATGAAGTTTTGATTCATTCGATGTATAATACGGTTGGACAGGTATTGTCATTTTTTTCATTGTCTCAGACATGATACTGTATGTTGATCATAACCAACATATATTAAAATATAGCTAATTCGTTTTTATTTTCTCTTTCTTCACAGATCAACACACCATGTGACATTGTGTAGGAAAATACGAGTTTAAGATGTCCATTGAATATACGTTTTCGCTCATTCTTTTTTCATTGTATTATCAATGTGCGTATGTTCATTTCAGGGACAAATATCAACACAAATTATCGTATGTATACATTTATAGAAGGTTTGGCACCCCCTGACATCGACGATATTGAAGCCTTTGACAGTTGGTTTCGCAACGGATATAAGCCTGGGCATATGTAAGTCGATTTCTGTTACATATCAATTTCCAAATTTGTTAATATATGCAACAAACACTGTAACTTACGTCTATTCATTTTCCACGTAGCAAATTTAAATTCTCACCATCCAAAGACATAATATACCCACCTTTCCAGTTTGGTCCCTATGTTGTTGATAGAAAGACCTGGTGGCACGAATTATGGCAATATATATGTGTCTATAACTCATTCAAGTTCTATTATCCTCTCTAGTCTTTTACATCGATACGGTATCTAACATCAAACACCTTACAGCACCTGAATGTGTGCTTCTACTGCTTCAGAAAGATGGTTAAGTTCAACAAATTGATATGTTTCAATGGTACAACGACTGATTCGTTCTTTGCGTCAATGGTACGTGCCGCTTACAAATCATGCAACAAGGACATAAACGCTATATCCAACTCCAGATCATTGGTTGAGTATGTGAAGGAGGAGTACATGCATTGTAATATGTGCTGGTCGAAAGTGGACAATGTCATCATTCCCATAATGGTGGACAATGTCATCATTCCCATAATGATGGACAAGAAAGCTCATTGGATATTGGGACTATTTGACATCAAGCGGAGGTGCTTGCACGTAGATAATCCTAGTCGGACGAATGTTAGAGACAAGATTGTGTCTAATGATGTGGAGGCTTTATCCTACACGCTCCCGTGTCTGATGTTGAAGATTAATGCCTAGCAAGCTAGTCATGCAGATCATATTGGTCTGGTGAAGCCTTTAGACGTTAATATCGTTACGGATATCCCTCAAGATGAAAACGGGTATGCATGAAGCCTTTTCTGTTTTCTGACTGTTGCAAATCTAGTGCTATTATCTCTAGTACATATCTGGTGTGTTTTTGAAATCTAATTTTCTATTGAATATACGTCGCTGTGATACGCAAACTATGATGTATTGTATATAGTTTGATCGTGTATAGCTTGTCTTTACTGTTATCAGCCAAGATTGCGGGGTATACGTCTTAAGGTTTGACGAGTACCTGATAAATGGGCAAACTAATGTGAGTTCCTAGAAATTTAACCCAGTGAAATATAGATCGAACCTCGCATGTCATCTTTTCAAACATGGGTGCGAGAAGTTGGTTGAAGCGTATGACATTGATTACGACCTGGTACCACGTAGCGTGAGGTGAGACAGGAAAATGAATGGCTTAGTGATCGAGTAGTGTGCTAGGTGGATATAGTTCATCTCTATTCTGGTTTTTGGTTAGCGTATATTTCAATAAAGAAATGTGATAATTATGTAGATGTCAGATTGTAGTAATCATCAGCTTTTGAAGGTATTTTTTTGAGATGTCCAAATGTGGGTCACTATGTCAGACCCGTAGGTCATAATACGTGTTCCTATGATGTATTTTGCTATATCCACTTCTCTAAAACTGGTGCTGTCTAATATTTGAACATCTGGGCATATTCTAATATATTCCAATTATTTTTCAAGTGCAAATATATGTCTCGTCGTTTTTGTCAACTAATGTCGTGATGTTTTTGTTTTAAACGAAATCATATTTGTTTGTTGGGATTCAAGTGTAGATGGTCTCATAACTTTGTATTTCAATTTTATGAAGGGCAGGGACTTTGTCTTGTCGGGAATATTAATATTGCTTGGAACCTTAAGAACTTTAGGAATCACGTTACCCGTTGCAACATAGTTTTCTAGGCGAACACAAAAAATATCAGATTTCATTTTATATTCACATTTCATTCTGCATCTGGGGGAAATATGTTGAAAACTAGTTCATATTCATCGTTGTTTTTCATCAAATCAAATTCAATTTTTCGGACAATAGTTGGACCAAATGACCAATAGGTTCTTAATTATGAACGAAAGTTTTAAAAGTTCTCCATATAAATTGTCTTCATCTTAGGAACTGCGCTTGCGTTTTCTAACGCCACACATAGGCAAAGGCTGCTTGCAACTTCTTTTATTATGTCCCTTCCCCCCGCACCGTCCACACATTGTCAGATTAATTGTCTCGAGCCTTATTCGACGCCTAGAATTCCTTGGTTGCCCAGCAGGCCTCTTTGAATTAGGTGGGAGGTTATGATCATGACTCACGTAGCCTACTCTACTCCAGTGTTCGCGATATCCCAATGGAACAATGTCGCATGCGTAGGTGTCCACGTACGCTACCTTTGTGTTGTACTGTGAGCAACAATTGTACGGTAAATCTCCCTTTTCACCTATTACCTCCAATGCATACGGACATGGAATGCCATCTACTTGAAAATGGTTGCAACTACACGTTATGACTGTTAAGTCCATAATGTGCTTTGTCCCATCATCTATTACCTCATACAATAATTCATTTGGTGCGGAAACCTACAACAATTGCAAGCATCGTATTTATTTTTCGTAAGTTATTAGATTATTTTTAAATGTTAAATTAGAAAAGTTACCTTCAGACCTGTGGAACGTTTACATTCAACCTAAGAAGGTTTTCTTGCTTACCAGCTAGTCGCGTAAAAGTAACACATGCCAAACTTCGGTTCTTACAGAACCATCCTTGCAACATATGCTTGAGTGACTCAAATAGGTAATCTATTGGACACCCCTTAAATGGCTTTTTCACCGCATTAACCGACTCTACTATGTTTGACGTCATGGCCACGAAACGATTTTTGGACATGTGACACCTAGACCACCTGTCGAAACCAATCTCCTCCTACATTACACATGAAGATTGGTCCGAAAAAACATTATATTCCGCACCAATGACTACAGAAAAGAAAAGTTAAAAAGAAAAGTTCCAAGAGTAAGACAACAACGTATGGATTGCAATTGAAAGCAATAATAGACTCAGGATGTAGTCATTGTGTAATTAATAAAAGAATTATACCAGAAAAATATATTATAAAATCTAAGGAACCTATAGAAGCCCAACAAATGGATGAGAATTTTTATAGTTATCAAGATATTCTTAAACCAGCAAAAATTAATTTTGAGACTAATTGTGGAAGAAGTACAGAATATAGTTTACCAAAAGACTCAGTATGGGTAAGAGAATTATCTTTAAATACAGATTTAATCTTAGGACTAAGTTTTTTATTAAAAGATAATGGTAGTATAATAATTAGTAAAGATTTTATGCAATTACAAAAATTTACAATTTGTGCACCTACTTATACTAAGATTATTCTATCAGAGTTTGCTGTGAAGCGTGGTGGGATAATAGAAAAAGAATGTGAGTGTAGTAAAGAAAGTGAATGTCAATTAATAGAAAAAGAAGAATATGAAGAATATTATGAAAGTTTTAAAGAAGATGAAGAATCATGCTTAGAATTTGTAGAAATAGAAAAAATTTATAATCTTTTAGTAACAGAACAAGATATAGAAAATATGATAAGTAAATTAGAAAAATTAGAATTTTTAGGAGTAAATATAGGTAAAGGAAAAATAGAGTTACAACCACATATAGCTCAGAAAGCTTTAGAGTTTCCAGATAAATTAGAAGATCTTAAACAATTACAAAAATTCTTAGGATTAGTTAATTATGCTAGACCCTTTATTAAAAATTTAGGAAAAATTGCAGGACCTTTATATGGAAAAACTTCACCAAAAGGTCAAAGATGCTTTAATATAGAAGATATTAAATTAGTTCAAAAAATAAAAGAAAAATTAAAAAATTTACCTAAATTATCTATGCCACTAGAAACAGATTTCTTAATTATAGAAACAGATGGCAGTGTAACAGGATGGGGAGCAATTTTAATTGCAAAACCCAATAAATATGCAGATAAAAATAGTGAAAAAATTGTAAGATATAATAGT